TGCATGCTGGTGTGCATGTAAAGTTTGCACACCAAGGTATAGCTTGCATATGACTTCATTCTCACTTTTTTTCTTTTTTTATTCTCACTTTTAAAATTTGTAGAATGATTTCAAGATATATTTCATGCTCTCATTATTCTTCATATTACCAAACCCACAGGCAAGGCAGGATCTGTAAATTCACCTGTGTGAAGACAATGCTGTTCAAATTCTATGTCGAATATAGTAGAAAAAAATATTCATCTGCTTTAAGGTTTAAAGGGAAAGAATTTAGGGTATGCTTTTTGACCATGAAGACTGGGTGACTTAGATTTAATAAAGGACATTTTCATCTGGGCCCCTAGGTCCCTGGTTCCAGGGTGACTACGGCAGCAATCATTTTAGGACATTACCACATAGCAGCTGTTTTGCTTACAATGTGTAGAAGAAATGTGTTGCTTGCTGCTATTAATACCCATTGGACAGGTGTATACATTCCAATCATATGCATTTGCCCATCTTCAGCACTTTTAAGCAGTGTGATAAAAGCCACAGCAGCTGCTACTTTACAAGTCGTTAGTAGGCTCAATTCTCTCCCTACATTATCCAAAGTACTTAAATGTTAACATTTCATATTTATAATACATATTTTCCTGTCTAAATCAAAATCATAAGGAAAGACATTTGTGGTGGGCTTCTGCAAAACAAAGACAGCAACATAATCTTTCTCCCTGAAGAATGTTACAAAGGTCAAACCAGCTGAGAAGATTCACACTTAGGGGAGCTTGGGAATCTGCAAGGGGTGTGCAAGTGTCCTGTAGACTGTGGGTGTCAACCACGTATGTCACTGGGAAATGTACTTTGAAAATGTATGTATAAAAGATACATATATCCGAGCAATATAAGCCAAGGTGGCTTCTATTACCTCTGTTTTGGTGCACTACAACCTCTAAACCAATACCTAAAGTGGTGACTAAGCGATCTACTTTACCAGTTCAACTATTCCCCATGGTAATCAGAAAGTGCATGGTACCTACCACACTATACAGCCATTCCACTAAGATTTCCTCTAGCCCCACTCACAGCAATAACTGAAGTACTACTTATGCTTTGAAAAATTATAACAGCACAGAGATAGTAAGCTACCACCTCATCTCTTAGGTCTGTGCTGAGATACTGCTGATACCTACTCAGCATCCTTGGCCATATACTCAGTCCCTGGGAATAATAAAAAAAAAGAGGTTTTTCAGCTTCAAGTCTGAAAGCCATTTCTATTTTCCAAATTCACATCTTCTTTCAAATAACTCAGCATCTCCTTTCAGAAGAGTTCACTTAACCAGGCACTATTCCAACTCACAATTAATATGCATTTTTAATGTCTTTATAAAATGCTTAATAGAGATGCTACTTTATGTTCTTAAATTATGTTAAATAATGCACCAAGTGAGTGGCACAAACTCAAATGTGAAAACATCACTAATAGGTCTTTATCATCCCCTCCCCCAATAAAAGGTCTTAAGAGGCCTGAAAGTTAAGGATGGCAACATCTGCTTATGCCAAAAAATCTTCTAAGACAAAAAAGAGCAAGCATGCACTATCTCCCCTGACTTTTATTTTAAAGTACTGGGTATTGAACCTAGAGCCTCACACATGCTAAGTCAACACTCTACTACTGAGCTTCTTCTTATTTTTTATTTAGACAGGGCCTCACTAAGTTGCCCAGGCTGGCTTTTAAATCAGTAAGTTGCCCAGGCAGCCCTTGAACTTGTGATGTGCCTGCCTCAGCCTCCCAAGCAGCTGAGACTACAGATTTGCACAATCAGGCCTGGTCACTGCACCCTCTGACCTGGTTCAGTAAGACAGTAGAACCACCATACAGTTTGATGCTGCTCTGCTCAGGTTCTCAGATCACTGTCTACTTGTCACTGAAGAGAAAATTAAAGCATAGATGGCAGGGAAACACAGAACTCCGAATATAAATATGCAGAGATCTTACAATTCAGAGTCAGATCAGAAATATGATAACCATAATCCTATACTTTTACACATTGAAACTGGAAAAAAGATCTTAGTTTTATAAGCTAACTGCTTACCTACCTGAACTCTTAATTCTAATAACAAACTTAGCAAACCTATTTTATTTATCTTCTTTAAGCCTTTGTCTTTTGTCTTAAAAATCAAGATGCTCAAAACAGAATTTAGTACCGAAGCAGACTATCACTTCCCAGTCTTGGATTCTGGAGCATCGCAGGTTCTTTACAAGTACAGTAACTATTGAGCAGTCTGTTAGATGCCAGCCAATGCTGTGGATGTTACATACACGAAATGAACAAATTATGTGGAAACTCCTGCCTTCATGGAACTTAACTATTTAAGTACAAATGGTCTATCAGTGCTATGGAGAGTATAAAAACTGGGAGATAGGCAGGGTGTGTAGGGTGAGGGTCATCTTTAAAAAGGATGGTCAGTGGGATCAGGGAGATGGATCAATGGGTATGAGCACTTGCTGTACAAGCATGAGGACCTGAGTTCAAATCCATGTAAAAAAAAAAAACTTGGGCATAGCTGTGTATGCTGGTAACTCCAGCACTGGAGAGAAGAGACAGATGGATTCCAGAAGCTCACTAGGCAGACAGCCTATCTGAAACAGCAAACTTCAGATTCAGTCAGAGACCCTGTCTCAAGGGAATAATACAGGGCACGATGATAGAACAGGACATCCAACATTCTCCTCTGGCCTCTGTGTCAGTGCACAGACACACAAACCTGTGCACATTATGTACACATATATACACCACACAGTTACACACAGACACACAGACAGACAGACACACACACAGAGGCACACTCAGTGAAGACTACAAGGGCTAATATTTGAATACAGACCTAAAGGTGCAGGTAGCAGAAAGAGTAAGCTAAGGGACAGGGAGGGGCGTGCTCTAAGTACAGGAACAAAGTGCAACAGCCTTGAGGTGGAGGCATTCTTGGCATTCTGAACTTAATTTTTGCTGTAATTACTTTAAATAATGCATGTTTTTCTCCACTGAAAGATCACCAACTGCTTCAGGAGGTCAGGAACATACATGTCACAAAGACTGCAGACAAGCTTCAGATTCTTCTGTCACTTCAAAGGAGTTTGTGTTGGTCTATGATGCAATGACCACTTGACTCAATTTGCTGCCCCTTGCCTCATTTCTTCTCTTCTCCATTACAGCTCAAAACACTAACTTCCTAAAACTAACTCGACGAAAAGAACAGAACAGAACAGAACAGAAAAGAGAAGAGAAAAGAAAAGTGCTTTAGAGAAAGGGCCCATTGTCAGAAAATCAAACTGTTAGGCATAGCATCCAACCACCAGGAGTAACAATCTTGAACTTCTAACCCCACTGGTATTTGTATCCAGCATTTAATAGTTAAGGGCTGGAGCTGGACATGATGGTACAAGGCTGTAATCCCAGAACTCAGGAAACTAAGGCTGAAAGCTTGCAAGTTCAAAGCTAACCCGGGTTACTTAGCCAGTTCAAGGCCAGACTGAGCTACATAGCAAGAGCCTGTCTTTAAATAAATGAATAAAAATAAACAATTGCAACCTGGTGTCAGTGTTTACATCTCACTATATGCTACTTTGTATGGTTCTTAGGAACACATTTACGCTCACCTTAACTTCTTTGGAGAAAGGCCCATGTTTGGGAAATGTCTGAATCCCACCACTAGGCTTTGCACATAGATGGCAACAATATCTGTCTGATGGTGATGTCATAGAAACAACAAGCAGCAGACCTTCCTCCTGATCTAAATACCCTACCGTTGGTGAATAAATCCTAAAACAGACATCATGGTCTCTCACAGGCATTTGGATAATCTCAGACACTGGGATCAAGCTACTGTTTGCGTAACACTGCATTCTGCTTTAAGTTTGACTTTGCATTTTCGGATGAACACAATACACACGTTCTGTCTAGACACCAGCAATGGATTACAACAGTATTTTGGAAAGGGACTCAATATGAGACTACCAGATTCAGTCTGTAAGACGTTGTCCAGACAGTCTAGTAAGACAAATAGGCAGGAAGGGAATGTCTTCAGTGCTCACAAGAAATGGAGAAGTATTTTAAAAACACTTCTGCAGGGGCCTAGAGGTAAGGTAATGCGTCAGAGAAGAGCTGGCCCCTGAACAGACAGGGTTTTGAAAGATGTAGGCCTAGGACAATCAGACACGGGATCAAAGGGCATTATGGATTGTGCAAACACTGGCAGAAACATCACAGATTGAAAACTGCTGGAGGAAGGCGGGCACCGGCAGTGAAGCAGGGCTGCTTCGTTTCCCAAGCTTTCCAAGAAAAAAACCAAGCTCTCCAAAGGAGGGTGAGGAGGGAAGGAAAGTTCCACCAGCTCGAAATTCGGTTAAACCTCATCTCCCTTTGCTTTGGCTCTTTCTGTTTTGTTTCTCTCTTGAAATAAAGTGCTGTGCTGACTGAAGACTTCAGTGGAGAAAATAACTTCAACTTCAGTGTGGAAAAGAAAACCGAAAAGTGGCAAGTGTTAGAGAGTTTCTTTTTTTAATTTACATTTCCCTGTATATACAAAGGGAGCAAGATGAAAATTCGGGTATCACAGCTCTGAAACACTAATCCCAACCCTTCTCCCCACCAGCTCCACAAATATTTATTTTATGTTCACTGTCTGTTAGTTTCTGGGATGCCAGGCCAATGAGGCAGTCTAGCTGCTCTCCTTTGAGCAAGCTCTTGCATGCAATCTAAGAAGAGCACAGGGCAATTCACTGTATACTTAGTTCCTCCTCCAGCTGCCAACCCAAACCTGAAGCTCAGGGCAGAGTTAAACTCCTGTCAATAAACCAGTGCGGGTAAAAACGCAATAACAACTGGGACAGGAGCAAGTGCAAGCAGTCCTGGGTGAGGGTGCCCTGTCACCTCTTCTGTGATGGGGGAGCTTGGAGGGGCACCTCCCACCAGTGACTTGGTGAATGGGGCTGGGAGCGGGCAGGGGGCAGTGGAAGTTACCTGGGCGCTCAGGTAGATTTTCAGGCACTCCTCGCACACCGCCTTCTTGCAGCAGGGCAGGGGCTTGATGGGCTTGTCTTCCAGGCACACCCGGCACGTCAGCACCAAGAGGGGCGCGTAGGGATCCCCTACCCCGCCCAGGCCAGAGTAGGGTGGAGCTCCTAACAGGCCCGGCACGTTGAAAGGTTCCGGAGCCAGGTAGAACTCCAGCTCTATGCTGCCGCCGTCGGGGGAGAGGGGCTCGGCCGGGGGCGACCTCGGGCCGGGGAAGGACGGCGGGGGGCTCGTTGGGGTCCGCCCCGGTGGAGCCCCAGGTGGGGACGCGGGCGGCGACAGTGGCTCGGCGGCGGGGGCCTCGGGCAGGTCGCTCTCCACGCAGTACACGGAGCAGAAGACTTGGCGCTTGGCGGGCGGCGGGCGCCGCTGGCCCAGGACGTCCAGGACCAGCCCGTCGGGGCCGGGGGTGCGGGGCGGGGGCTCGGGCTGCGGGCCGGGGTGCGCCTCCTGCTGCCCGTCCTCGGCGTCTCCGTGGCGCCCCTCTTCCTCTCGCTGCAGAGTCTGGGGTTCCAGAGGCCCCGCGAGGGGGAGTCCCGCGGGCTGTCCCGCGCCCCGGCTGCTCGCGGGCTCCTCCGGGACGCTCGTGGCGGCGCAGCCAGAGTCGCTTCCGCAGACGCGGCTCGGCTCGGCGAGGAAGACGAGCGGCCCGGGAGCCCCGGCGCGATCCCTTGCCGGCCTCGGGGACTCGGGCTGGCCCGCCGCACCCCCAGCCGGGG